GGTGGAAGCTGTTAGGACGAATTACAACAACAGATATGATGAAATCTGCCGCCTCATCTGTGGCTCGCATTGCCAAGCTGGAAAAGGCAAAGGCTAAAGAACACGCCACTGAACTGGGTTAAATGTACACTGTACATAGATATAATTACAAAATTATTGTCTTAAAAAATGAAGACACACTGTCTTCAAATCCACACATAGAAACATTTGAGCACGACTAAGCAATCCTAATAGATATACACATCCATAAAATACAGAATTCCTCCAACACTGAAACATGAAAAGTCCTTTTACTTAGGACTTTACTTTCTGCTTAAGTAGTGCCTAGTGTGTGGCTTTCTGTGTTTTTGTGGCTCCTACCTCTTTAATTAGTACTATTACTAAGCATTTGGTATTTGTTGATTACAGTATCAATTGTATCAATTTAACATTTACTGATTTTATCATACAAAGTAATGGATTTCTTAGGACATTTTCATACACGTGTATCATTGTACTTTATTCATCTTCACCCCTGTAATTCCCTCCCACCCAGCTCCTCTCTCAGTGGTCTCCCTTTCTCCCAAATAATCCCCTTCTGTCTGCCTTCCTCCCTCCCTACCTCCCCCCCGTTCTTCCTTCCTTCCCATCCTAGATTATGTATATGTATATGTATATGTATATGTATATGTATATGTATATGTATATGTATATGTATATGTATATGTATATGTATATGTATATGTATATGTATATGTCTTTCTGAATCTGATGTTTTATTGAACATGACAATCTCCAATTTTATCTGTTTTCCTGAGAATGGCATAATTTCACTCTTTTATTACTGAATAAAACTCAGTTGTGCAAATATACATTTCCTACATTCATGTATTGACTAGCCTCTAGGCTGATTGTATATCTTGGCTATTAACATTTCATTTTCTTATTTTTGCGATGGTAAAAAATGTAGTCGATTTTTATACATTGACCTAAGTGACACGTTGCATTTTCCAGTGACCCATCCCACGTGCTCTTTATAACAGTGTGGTGTCAGCACCATCCATGGAAAGGTGGGTCCATGCGACCTCCTCTTGAACTTGTAGAGTTTACTGTGATAGATCTGGAGATTTGTGGGTGATGGAGAAAGAGACGAGGTCAGGGAGGGCTTGACATACAAGTTTTATGTGGATAGTGTGTGGACAGGGTTGCAAGAGATTGCATGCATCTGTTGGATATATGGGAATTAGAATTTGATACTAGAAAGCCACTCTGGAAGAAAAGATGGTGTGGGGCTGTCCCTGGCTCATTCATTCACTTCGATGGTCAATAGACCTCAGCAGAGGTTCCACTTGAGGGTTAAACTGCTTACCAGTCTTAGACAGTTCTGAGGGGCATGTGGTAGACCCATTGTTTCTTGCTGTCTTTCTTCTGGAGTCTGATTCCACCATATTCCTAGGTTTGTCCTGTCAGGCATCTTTACAACAGGTACTAATGCTTCATTATTGTGCCAGCTACGTTTATGTCAACACAATGCAAGTCGGAGTCATCTGAGAGGAGGGAACTGCAGTTGAGGAAACATCCATAGAAGCAGGCTGCAGGCAAGCCTGTAGAGCATTTTCTTGATTAGTGATGGATGTGAGAGGGCCCGGTCCATTGAGGCCATCCCTGGGCTGGTGGTTCTGGGTTCTGTAAGCAAGTAGGCAGAACAAGCCATGGAGAGCAAGCCAGAAAGTGGCATTCCCACATGGCCCCTCCTCAGCTCCTGCCTCCAGGCTCCTGACCCGTTGAGTGAGTTCCTGTCTTGACTTTCTTCAGTGATAGACTACAGTTTGAAAGTGTAAGCCAAGCAAACCATTTCCTCTCCAGCTTGCTTTTGGTCATGATGTTTCATCACAGCATAGTATCCCTAACTAAATTAACCAGTTGTCTGACATATATGTGGTCCTCTGGGGATTCTCTTCCAGGCCACCCATTCTCCTGCACTCCAGGTTGGTGGTGCCGGAGGCCAAGCTTATAAGGTTCCACAGCTTCCCTCCTCCTCTCTTTTTGGTTTATTCCCTCCTTTAGCAGAACATGTTCTACAATGGCTTCCTGGGAACGGTATAGAGAGGGCAAGAGCTTTGACTATCTAAAACTAACTCTAATCCATTATACCTGTGAAAAGTTCAGCTGGAATAAACTTGGTAAGAATTTATTTTAATATTTAATATTGTGTATGTGTGTGCACACAAGTGTGTGTGTGTGTGTGTGTGTGTGTGTGTGTGTGTGTGTACATACTAGATCAACCTTGGATATCATTCCTCAGGAGCTGTTCACATTTTTTTTATTTGCAATGCATTTGTGCTCCTGTTTGTGTATAAGCCAGGAAACAGCCTTAGGTGTCATCCTCAGTCAAGTCATCCACAGTTGAAACCGGGTCTTCCATTGGCTTAAAGACCATCAATTAAGCTAGCCTGGCTGGCTAGCAAACTACAGAAGTCCTGTCTGCCTCCCCAGGGTGGGATTGATTGCACGTACGCACTGCCCTGCCATGTATCTTAATGTGAGTTTTAGGAATTCAAGTCAACTCCTTGTTCTTACAAGGCAAGCACTTTACTGAGTCGTCCACCCATCCCTCAGCCTGGTTTTCTATTGTTGGGGTGTTCTGTTGTGATGGTGGTTTTGTTTTTTGAGACCAGGTCTCTCACTGGAACCTGAAGCTCAACAGTTAGGCTAGACTGGCGGGCCAATGAATCCAGGATATCTTCCTATCTCAGCCTCCCTGATGCTGGGATTAACATGCACGTGCCACCACAGGGGCTGGATATCCAGCTCAGGTCTCTTTATCCACAGAGCCATCTCCCCAGTCTCTTTTCCTTAATAAAATTTTGTATGGATGTGTATGTGTCCACTAGTTTTGTGCACCTGCCCGTGGAGGCTAGACAAGGGCATTGGATGTGCCAGGATTGAAGATAAAAGGTGGTTGTGAGCCACCTGTGGAGCAGGTGCTTTTAACTACTGTATTAAAGCCAAGATTAAACTAAAAAAAGAAAGAAAGAAAAGGAAGGAAGGAAGGAAAGAAAGAGAAGAAAGAAAAAGAAGGAAAGAAAGAGAGAGAAAAAAAGAAAGAAAGAAAAAGGAGGAAAGAAAGAAGAAAGCAAGTGGTATTTGGAGGAAGATAACATGTTAAATACAGATGTCCTAGAACTTGTAGAAAGGGCATTTGAAAGTGAGTTTTTCCTGAAGGAGCAAGATGATTGTTTAGGAGGTAGATGCTCTGACTGAGAGTTTGTAAGTTCTAGTTTCTTACATATATGCTAAACAGTTGTTTTAAGGTGGGAAAATATCTGTAGAAAGCTTTCAGGTTATGTCTGTTAATCGGATTGATAGGGTCCGGCACAGGTAAAGAGACATTCAGGTTGGCCCCACTAGAGGGCAGCAGATCGGGGTGTCTAGTTTCAGCTGCAGAGCTGTTGATTTCAACCAACAGGAGCAGCTGTTTAATGTCAGCCAAACATAGGGGGAGAGATGGCTGTGTGCGGTGGTTAATGTCTGGACTGGAACCTTCTGATCTTTGCATCCCTGCCTTACCAAGTCTATTATGACTTCCTCCTGTTGTGAACAGCTTAGTACCTTATTATAGTCAGACCTGTTTTCAGTCTGCAGATAATTCAAATTCCTTAGATTATGAAGCTAGGGAATTACATAATGCTATAATTATTCCTGGCAGAGAAATGCAAGGTCAGGCAGGAGCTCCAGTAGCCTGCCTTCATGTGGCACATGGAGCTCTTCGTCCTGGGCAAGACATGTGAACAGGAACTCAAGATAAGGCTTGGGTACCCTTCTCTGAGGACATGACGCTGTGCCTGGCTCTTCTCTTTCTCGTTGCTGTGGTAACAAAACTGCACAGGCAGACTCAGCCCCTGCAGTGGGGGCAGTCTGAGCATGTTTATTATTGAGTAAACAAATGAAACCTACCAGTTAAATGGGCCACTGGCAACTCCCCAGCCTTCCACAGAGGAAGGCCAAAGCAGATTTGCAGTTCATCCAGCTCAGATCATCTTCATCCTGTTGAAATCTTTCTATCCAGTGAAGACCTTCGCGCCATCTGAGGGGCTCCCTCAGTTTCTCCATTTCAAAAGTCACTGAGTGAACTCAGCATGACCAAGTTCTTGGGCTTAGTTTCCCCAAATGAGGTTTAAACCAAGAGCTGAACTCAAGTGATTGCCCACAAAGAACTCTCCATCTGGAGACTTTACTCCAGCCATCTCCCTTTCTGATCCTTCTGATTTTTTCAACACAAACATCAAAGACAGTTTTCTTTCCTTTTTAGCCTCATCCGAAATGCAAGTGAGTGGCAATGGGAGACATCTCTCTAAGTCTCTGCTACATTACAGCGTTTTCTTCCGTCTCTGTAAGATTGCATCCCTGCCCTGAGACATGGTCTCTCTTAGTAGGCCTGGTCATGTCAGGCTTGGTCACATGACTTGTTTGGCCATGTGAACAAAAATATGGAGCAAAAGCGTTAAGACCATGAATTTGAATGAGTCCAAGGATCAAGGTGAAGGGGTCACATGGGAAGGGAGAAAATGATGTAATTATAACCAAAAACTGATTTTAAAAAGTGGCTTAAACATTGAAGGTGCATCAACCTCAGTTGTTTTTTGTTTTTTTTTTTTTGGGGGGGGGGTGTCTGTGTGTGTGAGTGTTTGTGAACCTTTACTCTGATCCAAATAGAAACCCCTGTCTTGTTTTGTTTTGTTTTGGGGTGTGTGTGTCTGTGTGTGTGTGTGTGTGTGTCTGTGTGAGCGTGTGTGCACCTTTGCTCTGATCCAAATAGAGACCCCTGCTTTGTTTGGGGTCTTGCAATGAGAAAACACTGCAAGGATCTACCACCTACCAACACTTAGCAAAATGTAGTGTAATTTGAAAACCGTGCATTGTTGTAATCCACTAAGATTGTCTGAATCAGTTGTTACTGCAACAAAGTCACCTACTGCAAAGACCAGGTAGTAAATAATAAACAGAAGATATAAATGTGATAATGTGAATTCCCAATAACCTTTATTTATATAAAATATTAAATAAATTATCTCAATATATACAAATAGAAGCTATATAAATAGAAAATCCCATATATAAAACCTTTAAAATTTATAAATATTTACAGTGTTAAGCATAGACATTTTTAAGTACCGTACATCATAAAACTATATGTGGTTCCTTTTTACAGTCTTAGAAAAATAGAGTTGGCAGTCAAATGTTTAGTCCCCACGCTTGTCAGTTAAAGTGCTAAACTGTAGTACGTGTCACAAAGATGCCCCAAGCAGAAATATCCTGCATTTAACACATCATATCAAAGCTTGATAATTGCTTTGAACTTCCAAAAGTACCTAGGGGAGGAAAAAAAAGAAACCAAATACCGCTTCACAAAATGACAGCTGTTAGAAAAGTCCACCCAAAATCCATCTTACTCTTCTGCAGCCCATAAAATCAGTTTCTCTAATGGTCTTCAAACGTCCACCCAGGTTATACGAAAGTCACCTGTCCGCTGGCTTTGCCTGGGTGACCCAGTATCTTCCTGAGTGTAGAATACACAATCCAAAGCATTTGTGCAAAAGTGGCTGTAGTGTTAGCCCACTCGTACCGTTCAGGACATTCTAAGTGACAAACGCTAGTGTCAGAATCAAAGTGTCAGCTGGAACAACAGGTCACGAAGGGGGGGGGGGCGTTTCGGAACTAGCATCCTCAAGTCCACGCCCCACATCCTCGGTCCCCATCCGAGGTCTTGGTAACGGTGGCATGCAGGTAGTGTGACGTTAGCAGCTTCAGCCTCCTCCTCTATGCCAAGCGCAGCGGGGCGTTCTTTCCTTTCTGCCCTGCTCTTCCCTTTCTGCGCTTGCACAGGCATATGGACAGGAGGATGAGAAAGATGGTGACCATGAGCACCACCACTGCGACCACAGTGATGAGCGTTTCTGCAAAACAAAAACAAAATAAAAGACATAGGGTCACCTGGGAATAAGGTCAAATCTCACTTGCCGGTGGGCAGGACCCCAAATTATATCACCCTGCTTTCTTGAAACTTGAACTTTCCCCCACTCTTTCTACCATTCTTGAGAAAGAATCTCCCTGGCCTCATGTGCCTGAGAGAAACTGACAGTGGCTACAGCATTAAATGACCTGCCCAATGTTCCTGGGCTGGAGAAGAGCCCCGGGAGCTGGATGTGAAAACACCTGGTGGAAATGTGGCCCAAAGGGACCCCAAGTTTGGTGGTAGAGAATATAGTAGGAGACAGATGGGAAGGGCAAAGAAGGAGAGCCGAAGGGATGATACAGGAGACAGTAGTTGGCCAGTTTAGTAAGGAGGCTTCCTAGAGGGGGCCTTGGAAATACCTCAGAAAATTTATTTGAATGGAGACGGACAGGGAAGCAGAGGCAGAGGCTGAGGTATCAGAGTTAGAGTTGGGCTGAGGAAACAATCTGGAGCCTTGTGGCTAAGGAACTGACCCAGAGGTGAATGGGCTCCAGTGGGAGAACTTTCTGTCGATAGCAGTAAGAAGGCAGAATACTTAAATGTATTCTTGCATTTAAAAAAAAAAATATTTTTAGGTTAGGATATAAAGTACAGGGTTTAATTATAGACTTTTCATAAATGGTATGTCAGTAGACTTTGTTCTCATTCATTGCCTGGGCCCTATGCCCCTTTGTCTCTCTCCAGTTCCTTCCTCCAGATAGGCCACCTTTCTACTTTCTCATCACATCTGTTCTATCACCCCTCCCCCCTTATGTTGCATCCTTCCTTGTCATGGTCCCCTTTCTAATTTCATGACCCCTGTCACACACACATAAATACAACATGTATATTTAATTTTAAATCTGGGTTCCCACATAAAGGAGAAAGATGTGGCATTTGCCTTCCCGAGTCTGGCCTACTTGGCTTAGCATAATGACTGGAAACGTTAAAAGGGGAGCCAGGCCACTGCTACTGTCCTCTGACTCTTCTCTGAAAGCACTCAGAGCCCCTTCTCTGTGGGGTCCAGAGGGATATTTACAGGCTTTTAGTCACACGCAGCCTCTGTAGCAAATGTCCGTCATAGGTGCACTTAAGTATCTGCCTCGTCCAGGAGCTAACTGATCCAGAAACCACCCTCCCCTGACCCCGCCCCCGCACAGATCACAATGTCAGCGAAAGCAGGCAAAGAAGACAGTTAGTGCTCCCGTCCTGACTGTGATCTGCACCCAGTGCCCAGGGAAGTGCTTACAGAACGAGGAAACCATGTGGAAACATTTCTAAATGCCCCTAAGTGAACCGAAAAAGCATCCCCAAAACACCCAAAGGTCATTTCTTCCTGAATGCTTGGACCAAAGAGGTACACATTGGCTCTGACAGGGGACACCAATCCTCCCCCGGCACTGACGCCCATAGCTGCTCACCTCTCGCTATACCCTTCGGTTGGTCCGTGCACACAGTTATGCTGTCTGGGCTCCTCTGTTTGTTTTTCGTGGACAGAATCTCAGCACGGACATTAAAGCAGTAGACCGACCCTTTGTCCACATCAACCGAGAATTCGTTCGTGTTCGTTTCAGCTATTTTCTGTGAAAAGACGGAGAAGCTGAGTTCTTTCCCCTCATGAAGTCACCGAGGGCGGTGAAACCAGGGCTCTAAGCAAAGCCTGTGCAGACATCATCGATGGAGGATTAACAAGTGACTTGGCTAATTCGTAACCTTGCTAAGGACGCCTTTGCCAAATCTGAAAGGTAGAAGTTAAGTAACATCCAACTCAGTTCAGCCCCCTTTCTTCTGGAAGAAAAGAAAGATGGAATCACTAGGCAAGGCACATTTAGGGACCTGGGGCTGAAACTCAGTGGTAGAGAACTGTCTAGCGTGCAGGGCCCTGTGTAACAATCTCCAGTGTCACAAAGCAACATGAACACTCATGCACATACACTCAGATTAGTTAATAAGTCCCCCCCCCATCCCCAGTATGAGCATTTGGGAAAGTTCAGTCTGCTCCAGCTCCTTGGTTGCAAAATTGAACTGTCTAACTGTCTGAAGGACCTCTGCCCAAGGGCACAGGGCAGCTGGCTCAGAAGTGACTGGCAGAACAAGGCTCTGCTGCCCACGCCACCATGTCACCCCTATTCCTCTGTATTTGAACTGGGAAGGAAGCTGGCTGTGGAGAATCAGGGGTTGTATAAAACAAGGCATAAAAATGAGTGAAAAGTCTCTCACCCTCCCTGAGCTTGAGTCTCTCCGATAAGCAAGTGTGTAAATCAAGTCGTTGCCAAAGATTTCCCGCAGGGTGAGGAATGTGCCGTTCTTGTTCCTTCTGACTAATGTATATGAGTCTTCCACCGTCACGTTCAGTTTCGTACCATCTTGTTCAAAATGCTGAATTACTGGCTGTCCAAGTTTTGCTGAAATTGCAAAACAAAATTTTGCTTGGTTGGAAATTTAAATCGATATAAAGAAAAGATCACTTAGTTATCAACTCCGCCATTGCACATCTGGAATATCTGTACGGAATCAGTTACAGTAGCAGGAATGGTGGCAGCCCTAGAGCTGAGACCCAAGATAGCATATAGCCATGCCATCCTCTGGAAAGACAAGGAGAGCCTTCCTTACAGTCATTAGAAAATGGGGAAAAGGAGCTGGTGGAATTAATGTTAATAATATACTTTAACAGGGTCCATTAATAGATTAGCATTTTAGCATGCACTCAATAATAACAATCTATAGATATTTTACATTTTTAAAAAACTGGCATATATTTCACCTTGTCAGCATTAGGCATATTTTAAGAGTTTGGTGGCCTTGTGTGGTTGATGGCTACCAAGCTGGACAATGAAGAGTTTCAAACTTCCGTATTTTAGCTACAATAAATTAGGGGCTGGGAATCCCAGGAAGTATTCCTGGTCCATTAAGGGATCTATCTGAAGCTATAGGTTCCCGGTTCAGTTCCTGTGCTCTGGTTATGTGGTGGTCAACCATGTCTTCACCCTATGGGAGTCCCAGGACAGGGTGAGTGAGTGTGTGCGCGTGTGTGTGTCTGTGTTCTGTCATGAACCACAAAGGATTTGGTCTGTACTGCTGAAAGCTCAGGGACTATAAAGAGTAATTATGGCTCAGGGAGAATGATTGTCAGTGACTTAGCAGACATGAAGGTGTCATGCAGAAGCATAAGGGAAAAAGGACAAAGGTGTGGGAAGAGAGGGGCTTGTCAACGGGATTCCTCAGAAGACAACCACAGTCATCTGGGCAGTTAGGTCATTAAAGCAAATATCACGAGTAAAATTCTGGTCAGTTGTCCCTCGTCCTTCTCACCATCCATGTCACTGAGCAGTCAGAGGGTTACAGATGGGGGACACCAAAAATTTAACACTTCTGTTTTAACCAGCAGGCCTTGTAAAAGAGGGAGAGTTTAGTGTTCCTAGTGTGCTGTATGTGCTTGTGAAATGTCAACTTCTGAAACACACACACACACACACACACACACACACGAGAGAGAGGGAGAGAGAGAGAGAGAGACAGAGAGAGGAAAGAGAAGCAGAAGAAGAAAAGAAGGAAGAAAGGAAGGAAGGAAGGAAGAAAGAAAGAGAGAGAGAAAGAGAGAGAGAGAAAGAAAGAAAGAAAGAAAGAAAGAAAGAAAGAAAGAAAGAAAGAAAGAAAGAAAGAAAGAATGAATTCTCTTCCTGGGCAGGAATTCTCTGTATTTTCTTATTAGATGGCAGGCTTGCACACCGGGACAAAGGTGGGGAAGAAGCATGCCACAGGTTCAAACCCAGCATGAGGGAGCGCTGGCACATGCTGGCTCATCTCAGGATCAGCTGGTTGAGGAACCAATGGGCCTAGTTACAGGTAGAAGTGGCTTCTCTCTGGATCTGTGCTTATTTGGACAAAATCCTAAACTAGGGTCTCTGGTCTGATGAAGGGATATAAACTTCAGCATGTGACATGTATCCTTACACGGCCTTCCGAGGAAGAGCCACAAGCCCAGCCTCAGGGCAACTTCCAGCTGGCGACTGGTAGGAACTGGGGGCTGACTGGAGAAGTTAGTAGATGACACAGTGGTCCACACACAGTTTCACATTCTGTGAACCTCCTGCCCATCTGCAGAGAGGGAGACACTTGTGTCTAAGATGTCCCCAGCCCCCATGTGATTGTGTGTGTGTGTATGTGTGTGTGTGTGTGTGTGTGTGTATAGAAATGTATGTTTAATCTAATGGCCAGTAGGGGGTCAAACAGCACAAGAATATACAGAAGCCTAGACCAAGAGTAAAGACGTTATCAACCACGTTACTTACTGTCTACGTAAGGAATAAACTTTGGGGCGTTTGTAAATAACGGTTCCTCCCCATGACTGTTACTCCGTGGGATAGATAGGACCCTTGCTTCGTAGGCCTGGTGCACGTCCTGAGTGATCTCATCTGTGAGGTCACACTCAGTGTCTGTAGTTAAGAAGCATTTGTTTTTCCAGTCTTGGGATCTAGAGCTACAAGATGGAAGGACAAGAAGAGATGGGAGGTTAGAGTTTGAGTCCAGAAGGATGGATGGCCTCCTGCCTGAGTGCCCTGTGCCACCGACAGGCAGCACGGGGAACCCTGAAGAGGTGTTTCCCACCCTGAGCATTTGAAGTATGAATGGAAGTTCACCCGGCAACCATGTTGGCTATGCCTGATTTTTTTTTTTTAATGTATGTCAGCATGGAAGACCAGAGGCACTAACTAACTTTCAAAGTCACACAGTAGTGGTAGGGCTGGGTTTGTTTGCCTCGGTATATTATCACATGCTAGCTGTGGCTACAAGAATGAGAATGCATCTCATCAAAGATCAGAGAAAACAACAGAGGTAGTGACTGTCACAAAGTCCATGCCTCTGAGGGCAAAGGACAGCTCTTTCTTTTGTAAGCCACCATCAAAGAGAAAATAAAAACTTCTGCTGAAAATAAAACTCTTCGAAAGGACAAAAACGGCCATTGGCCAAGTACCACTGTATCTTGCCTCTTGAACTCCCATCAAATGAATGGCGAGAGTCACTGTTCCGTGGTTCATATGAGCCTGCCATACAGACCCAGGTACTCAGGCCAAGTCCCAAATCTCCGTATCACCTCTTCCTTGGTGGTCAACACCCCCACCCCCACCTTACTGCCAGGAAAGCTGTGAACTTGCAGGCTCTCTTTGGACCAAGAGAGAGAGAGCCTGGGTCTCATCCTCTGCCAAGCAGCAAGGCTTCAGCATTTGCTGAGTATGAGACCTCTCCCCTTACAAGGTGAACACACACATCCCATGACCGCACACATCACAAAGAGCCCAGCACCACCTTAGAGAGAGGAAACAGGTGCAAAGGGCCTAACCACAATTTCTGACGTAGAGGAGAACTGGTGGGTTGGCTAACTATGCATGATGATCATGACAGCACGTGATTATGTAGGGAATCTATTATTCATACGCTTTACTATTCAACAGACATATAGACTATGACTTAACAATGAGCAGAGGAGTCATACATAGAGTCAGTTATCTAAATCCACACAGAAGAGGCGCATATGTAGATTCTCCAAAACCCTTAAATAACCAGATGAAAGAACCTGGCCGGGTACATATATCTTTTATCCTCAAACTCACAAACTAAAATTAGAATAGGAATATTTTAGCTCTTGTGTTTTTGAGCCCTCTCTATGATAAGCATAAGAGAGGCTATTTGGATCCAGAATGACCTTGATTACATCTTCACCAAAAGCCAACGGTAGCTTGATGGTTTCTTTGCACTGATGTGACAAACAAGCCGATAGGCTCTGGTGAAGACCATACCCCCAGGAGATGCAGCGCTTTCTTCCACCCTGCTCATGAGTCAGACCATGTGCTCTCTGGAAAAAAATGTAGGACAGGGGCCTACATCACGCTGTGACAACAGGTCGGTGAGAGGACAGTTCTGCAGTGAGGTCCTCTGGGTGTTGCTAAGGGCACAACCGCATTGAAAGTCTTCAAGGTCCCTCTAAGTCAGTGAACGACTCCCCAGACTTGGAAATAAGAGTCCCTGGCTAGTTGACTGAGGAGTTCCAACAGAAAACGGACATCCGCTAATTGAGTGAGAGGCTGTGTCTGGAAGCCTTCACGTTCAGCTTCAGAACTCAGCACACACTATTGACTGGACGGCACAAGTCGTGTCACGGTGCTGAGGGTGGGCCTCGGATGCTTCCCAGCTCCCACTGAGCCTACTTTCAGAGAAGATGCTACAGGCACTCAGCCAAACCACACAGCCAAGCTTCAGCAACATAGGTAGCTGATAGAAACAGACGAAAAGAGATTCTGGAGAAGCAGTGATGAGCAAAGCTTTCCTCTTCCTCCCAGCTTTGGGGCCTTGCGACAGACTGGCAGAGTCTCCTGCAGACATGGTACACCTCAGTTCCAGGCAACCTGGGCACTCCTCACCAGCAGTCAGTGTGAGCCCCTGGCTTTCCAGAGCAAGTTTTATCTAGAAAAGTAACTGCTATGGTTCCCTTAGCCCTGGAAGGTCCTTTCCCATGGGAAGAGTGAAGACTAGCTCAGGTCTCACACCCTGACTGACGGAAATGCTTCCAGGATCATCCACCTCAGCAGCAAGAACCTGAGGACGGTGACCTGGCCCATAGGACACCTAAGTCTTCAGAAACCCCCAAGCTATGCCCCGAGTTGTGATGTTTACAGATCACGAGTCCTCCTCATCTTAATAATGGCCACCTTAAAGACTCCAAACCTACAGCTAATAAAAGTTTCTTTTTCAAAAATCAAGTCAACCCAAGATATATTTCCAGTGTTGTTTCAGTTAAGACATTCCTCCCAAAATCTGACCTTCATATCTAGAAGGAAAGGGTTTCCTAGGGTAAAAGTCAGTAATTTTCGAAGAAATAACTCTCAACTATTAGGATACAAATTGGCAAGGTTTAAATTTGTTCTAAGTCAGAGTCTCACAATATAGCTCCAGTTGACCTTGAACATACGTGTAGCTTGAACTCATAACCAGCCTGCTTCATATGACTGAGCTGTGCAGAGATGACAGAGCGCCACCGTTACCAGCTCAACTAACTTGGGCGGTGGAGCATGGGTTATGGAAGGGGCCTAAGGCTTTGAGCGTGGTAGACGAGAGCTCTTACCACTGAACTGTGTCTCCAGCCTTTGATCTTGACTACAGTTGCAGTGATAGATCACGCAGTTCATGCGTATATATTTATACATACACATGCATAGCTACACATGCGAATGTGCACACAAATTCTCTTCCCTTTCCATCCGGCAACTGTTATCATGGGGTTCCTTTTGAATAGCAAGGAAGTCGTTTAAAAGACCCACACCTCAGAGTTGCATCCTAGCACTACAGAAGGCTTGGCCCAAGCTGAAACAGCAAAATGAAGAGGTAAAGCGTGCTTGACCTGTACCAGTCACCACTATTAAGATAACTTCCACACCCTGGATTTCTCAAGTCCCTTGCACATCTCCCAGGACCTATCAGAAACCAGAAGCTTGCCAAGAATATGTAAAAACCCTCAAGGAAAACGTGGTGGCACGCCCTGATACTTAGATTAAAGGTGTTGAATTACCTGTTCCCTAGGGCTGTCAATCAGTGACCAGGCTTGCATGAGCCAAACAGCCCCAGACAGCAAGGGAGGTAGACAATCCTTCAGTGTTTTCTAAGCAGCTCAGTGACTCAGGAGTCTGGATCTACCAAGATCATGTGTACAGCCAAATTTTAATTCGCAGAGTCTATAGATTAACGAATCCAACACTGCTTCAGGGCAGTGTAGACACTGGAATTCTCCCGACCTCTCCCTAACATGCCAGGATCAGTTTAGTCTAGACGGCCAGCAACTGGAAAAGGATATTAGTGCTTAAGATCAGCTGCCGTCGATCCCAAAGCATACGATGAATGCTTATGTGGGTAGATTCAGCCCAATAACTAGACATTATACCATTTTACTTATTTGGCTTATCTTATTTATTGACCTATCTTGATACAGGATCTCCTGTACTGCAGGACAGCCGGGAACTCCCGATCTACAGCTAAGAGTGAATGGATTTCTAACCGTGCTGCTTCCACCTCCAGAGTGACACCCTGCCAATTCTAAGTGACACGAGCTGAGGCACATCCATTGGGGCTGCTGTCATCTCAGTTTAAAATATGGAAACGTTTCCGTCTTGATGGAACCTGACAGGGGCCAGAAAATTACCTTAAAAAAGCGCTACCATGTGTTAAACAGCCTTATCCAACACCCAGCTTCAAAGAGTCTGTAGAGGCAGCACAAGCGCCACAGGAGCAAAAACATCAATTGTCCTTTTGTCCTTTAACCTAGCTTACCTTATCTGAACAGTGTAGAAATAATTGATGGGTTTGGGTTCCCACTCCAAAATTGTCTTGAAATTAGTTGATTTCCAAGTTAAATTAACTGCTTTCGCTGGAATGCCTACAAACAACACAAAAGGACTATAATCGCATGCACTTCTGGGTTCACGACCTTGTGCTAACAGTCTAGAACACTGTCCCAGCCTCCGCCATCAACAGGCGCACATACAAAGAACTGTGTGGGTGTCTCACTTTTTTTTTTTTCCCCCGAGACCCATATTGTCCTCCTGGCAACATCCACACCGCAATCGGTGGGACAGCGAAAGACCCTGTGGTCCTTATTTAAGCTCCTCAAGGGAAAGCCCACGTTATAAGGACATGGAAGGAGGGCCAAAGGTCCACTCACGCGTCAGAGAGTCCCAGACCCTTCGAAAGCAGCCAGACTCAGAGGTAGCGAGGAAGGGTGTGAATTAAGTTGGAAACACAGTGAGAGAGTCAGGAATGCACATAAAGCAAAAATGCCTAACTTGACCTTGCCCGGTGTAATCTAAAATATCTTTCCACTGCAGCTCCCAGGGAGCACAGGGTAGCCGCGCAGCCCTAGCGGCACCAGTCACGTGGTGGGACCCCATGCCATTAAAATACCCTGTTATCAGGCTCTCTCTCTCTCTCTCTCTCTCTCTCTCTCTCTCTCTCTCTCTCTCT